GGTGGCTTCTCCTTAGGAGTCTGGCCTCAGCAGGGACCCCCCGACTCTGGTGGTCTCCGGCAGCACCCAGGGCTTGGCTCCAGGGCCCCCCTTCCCTCTGTGCTGGGGAGCCGTAAGCAGGGAGCGGCCGCTGAGCCTCTGGGCTCGCCAGATTGGGGATCCTGTGCTTCTGCTGCTGCCAAAGGGGGGCTGGCTGGGGTCCCAGCGGGGTTTTCTCCAACCACCGCTGAACTTTTGAGATACGGTCCGGGACCTGCTGCTGGCCAGGTGGCTGAGTCCTGTCCTTCCGAGGGGGAACGCTGCCGCCGGCACCCTCCTCTTCCTGCAGTGGGGCCCACACGCGGTGCTTGCCGGCCGGCCCATCCTGATTGAAGGCCTGGCAGGCTCTACAGTGCCGGACGTGACTGATGCGGCACTGCGGCAGAATCCTGGCTGAGCTGCCCACATTTGTGGAGGGCCCACTGCCCTCCTGCCTGCGGAGGAGACCTTCCGAAGCCTCGCCTTTGCCCTCTGCCCTGTGCCGGGGGTGTCTTAGGTGGGGATCTCGGCCTGGGTCGTAATAGTCACGAGAACTATTGGCCTGTTGGGCCCCCACATTTCCTCTTCCGTGGGCTGCCCATCTGTGGTTGTGCCTCCCAGCTGCTTGCTCGTGGTCTGCAGGCCCCTTTTTGGCTGTCCTCCAGGGTGTGTTGGAGCTGGTGGGCTCTTCCTGGGCAGCCTCCGTGTCAGACAGGCGAGCAGTATCACTAGCCCACGCTTTGAGCTTCTCTGAGAAAAAGGTGTCCAGCTTTTCTGCAGCATTGCGGTTGAAGAGGGAGGACCTCTCGATGCCAAGGCTGGGTGAAGAATGCACGTGAGGGCAGAGCGGCGGTCGGTGTCCCTCCACGGCCTTTGCATGCTTCCCTCCTGGATCTCGGTAAACCAAGGGGTGGTTCTGGCGATCAGCACCGTCCTTGGCACTATGCGGGCTTGACTTCCCAAGGCTGATGTCTCGGATGGATCTGGAGAGATCTAAAAGCAAGTAGTGCAGAGACCAAATGTCATTATATCGCCAATGCGTGGTCTTCTTTCCCTAAGGTAGCTGTTGCTGCCCGGTGTTCCCCGGACGTGTTGGGCTGCTGTTCTGCCTCGGACTGATGGCCTCAGTGGTGTTGGTTTGGCGGAAGGCAATTGTGCTCTTAATCTGGCAAGATCTTGCTGGGTGATTTCCCTTGGCTTTACATACACTCAATTCCCACAACATAGTTGCTTCTCATTTCAGCGTGGCTCCTGTGGACTGACGGGGACAAGTCTATCAAGCGTCCTTCCGGGATGCGGATAGGACTTTTCTCAACCTGCGGCCCCAGCTGTCCCAGACTGCCCCTCCTTCCAGTACGTCCGCTTAGGTCTCTAGATCGGCCGAGGTCAGCTAAACTCTCACCCCCAGTTATGGAAGAAACCCTTGTGGAAACCACGACGTGAGGCGTGAACTCATCACAATGCTTGCGCCCGTCACGTACAGTGCTGTGGCTGGCTGAGTTTGCAGGTCACACTAAGGCATCGGCCCGGAGGCGCAAACCACGAGGGCAGAGTTCCTGCAATATGCTGAGGCAGTGCTTTCCAGCCCTCAGCAACGGTAAAATGTGTGGACTTTTAACTCCCAGAATTCTCTCCTAAGGAAAAGCAATCAAACCGCGTTACGGCTTAGGGTAGAGCATGAACCCAACGACTGCATAGTTCCGGCACTGAAGGTGCAAGGCATTTACGGGCTGTCCTTTAGGGCTGCGAGAGCTACAAGCAAATGCAATAAACCTCGCATCGGGGCAGAAACGGTCTTGACGCCTCCCCCTCTTACTTATTTGTCTGCAGGCTTGCCACTTGGTCTTGCTACTGTAAACGGTCATCCCCGCAAGGTAGACCAGATGAAGAAACCGACTCCGCAGGAAGACCAGAACTCTACTTTATTGAGACCAGCTCTTGCAAGTCTGAAGGTGCTCTCCTCCCCTCCCTCTGATGCCCCCTTGAGTCAGGGGGGTGCCAGCCTGAGCCTCTTCCTACCACCACCTCCATCCCGTGTTTTTCGGGAACGGCTTCTGAATCAGCAGGTCAGCTGGTTTGTAGCTTCCAACCGGACACGTACCTTACAGCTCAACCCTAAAGGCATGGTAGAAGAGGGTGGATCCGGACCCAGCTCCCAGGGGAGACGTTCCGTAGCCCGGGAGCCACGCAGGAGAAGGCCTTCTCGCACGACCCGGGACAGCGGACCTCTGGCCCTGACACAGTGGAATCTCTTGCAAGCTTTCATAACTGAATACCGGTCAAAACAATCAAGATGATTTGCACCATCAGGGCTACCATCTCGACTGTTTGGACCACGTACTGCGGACACCCCTGAAGACACTCCTAAAGCAAGAAACGGCCCTAGCCAATATTGTTCTGTAAGCCATTAAACCCTAATAAAAAGCCAGGCCTCCTTTGACTCCATTCACACATCTATGTTATGTTCTTAGGAACAGCTGTGGCTTTCCTCCGGCCTGCATTTTCTAGCCTGCAGCTGTGGGATCTCCTGGTGGTCTCCCATCCAAGGCTGACCCAGGCCCTGTTAAGAGCAGAGGGAATGACCTTGGGGGACAGGAGGAAAAGCTGCTCCCAAGACAGCAATCAGATAAAAGAGGACTGAGTCTGGGTCAGGAACGCAACCTGAGTAAACGTCTTGGACGAGTCGCTCCCTAGCTCATGCTGAGGGAGGAGGGCAGCGCATCCAGACTTGCAAGGTTCTGTTACTATATCTTTACAGTAAAAGTAGTCCTGACCTTCATGACGTTGGAATCCTACCCTGAGGGGCTGACGTGCCTGCTTCGCTTCTGAGCCCAGCCTGGGTGGGGCAGCTGCTGTGACCTCTCTCAATACCCCCAAATCAACGGGTCAACAAACTCCTGAAAGTGACCGGCAGTGGTGCAGATGCTTCCCTGCCTACCAGAAATGATGGATGTGGTCGAAATCTCACGCTCCCTCCATGGCCTGCTGGCGTCATGGACGTAGTCCGGGTCGGTTTCCCAGTCCTCATCATCCTCCGCACCGCAGGGAAGCTGCCTGCCAGGGGAGGCTCCCAGCTGGTCTCGCCTGCTCCTGGACGGGCTTGCAGAGTGGGGACCCCTGGGGCGCCCCGAGTGGGCCATGTGGGCGGGCCAGGAAGGCCCAGCACCCTGAAAAGAGCTCGAGGGCGGGTGCACGGGCACCCAGCCGCTGCCCTCCTCCCAGTCTGCCGCCTGAGCACTGTGATGTCAGCGCAGTGTCATGCCGGGTTCTCTTCTCCATCTTCCACATGACAGCCGGGAATTCCTTGGGGCAGCTGACCCCGAGCTGGTGTCCTCTCAGTGTGTTGGGCTACCAAGTGGATGGGGACCGGCTGGGGATGGTCGGAGATGTCATCCGACACATCTGGTAGGTGCCACGTTCAGAAGAGGGGGTGCCCCGCAGATTTCCCCACAGTCCAAGGAATCTGTCTTTTCTTGCCCACCCATCTTTCCTTCCAGGATGAGCCATTCACACAACCAAACCTGGTTGATTTCAACATCAGGAGGTCCTGGAAAATGCCTGGCTTGCTTCTCCCCACTTTCTAAGTAGCCTGTGCCTTCTCTCTGCAAAACGCCAACAATGAAACTGATTTGAAGCCCCTTCTACTCAGCAGCTCCTGGAAGCCACAGTTGCCCACTGTTGGCTCGTCCCAAAGCAGCCGGTGTGTGTGTGTGTGTGTCTGCATTTGTAAAGAACACAGATCCAGGAGGGTGAATCGCAGTCTGCGTCATAGGTTCACTGAGATGGCGGGAGACCCCTCTCATCCCGCCAGAAGGGAGGGCTGATGTAGCTTCGCTGCATGCCAGAGCTTGTCTGGTGTGGCTGGGCTATTGAGCCACGATGGCTCCACTGAAGGCATCCTCTTGGTCCAGCCTTTCACTCTCTTTTGGTCCTCCTTTCTTCACAGAGACTGGCCACCTGCTGGATTACCCCATCTCCAGCTGAGCCTTCTTTCTCCAGAGGAGGCCCTGAAGATGAGGAGCATCTGGTGTTTGCCATGTGGTGCCATCACATCAGGAGGCTCCCGTGGACTCGTGAGGTAATTACAAATCTTCTGTTTGAGGGCTGCGGAACAGGAACTACATTTTTATGGGAAAACATTTCATGGAAAACATTTTGAAAGGTGGTCTCTGTCCAAACATTTATATGCTTCCCCAGAATGGTTAACTAGATGGCCTGGTCGGAAATATTTGGAAGTCTTAAGTGTGACGAACTGGGTTTAAATATCTGAAGCTGGATTAACAAACATAAGTGCTAGGTTCACATAACTCGCAATGCCAAACAAATACTGTATACCCTTGATGGCCTTAGCACTGATAGCTGGGTCATACCACATGCTAAGATACAGCTTGCCTCCCGGAGCTGTGGGTGCTCCATCGCTGGAGGTTTTCAGGAAAGGAATGGACAACCATTTGTCCGAGATGGTCGGAGGACTCCTGCCTTGAGCAGGCGGTTGGACTAGAAGACCTCCAAGGTCCCTTCCAACCCTAGGATTCTATGATAAAACCTTGGTTCCCACAACACACTGAACCACAAACTACCTTCTCCACTGGAGTCTAGGCTAGGGAAGCCAGCCAATGTATGGCAAGATATGGTTTGGCTTTACAACATTAAGCTTGTCTGGACCAAATACAGAGTTTCCCCCTCTCCCTTATAACATGTTCACCTGCCCCCAAGTCATAAGGCAGGCTTAATGGCAAGAGAGCAGTTGTGGCTCGGGAGCAGTCCCTGATAAGGAAGATGCTGTGGGAAGGAACCTGAGCGCCAAGGCCTGGCAGCTGGCTGGGCCTTCTTGTGAAGGAAGTTAAGGAGCGGGTGGCCTCAGACAAGACCAGTGAGGAAGACAGCTAGCAGACATCTAAAGAAGCCATCGTGCATGAACATACAGCTCACTAAGGAACTGAGAGTAAAGAAGGGGGTTAGCTGGAACCGGAAGGAAGAGCTGAGGACCAAGGAAGTCTGCAGAGCTTCACCTCAGAAGTGTAGGAATGAGGTCAGGAAGGCAAAGGTGGGAATGAGCTAACAGCAGGAGAGGCAGAATCCAGCAAAGAGGGCTCCCCAAATACGTCAGCGGCAAGAGAAGGCGAAAGGAGGCGGTGGGCTCACTGCTTGTCACAAACGGTCAGCAAAAGCAGAGCAACCCGGCCCCTCTTTTGCCTGTCTCTGCATCCAGAGGAAACGGAGATTTGAGGAGCCCAGACGGGGAATGGCCTCAGCAGGGAGGGCACAGGCCAGTCAGGATGCGGAAAGGCTCTTCTGGCTAATCCAGAGGCCTCCGGTCTCCAGGCCCTGATGAAATACGCCCTAGAAGGCTGAAGGCCTAAGAGCTATTAGGACCTCTGTCAGATATCTTTGAAGAGTCCTGCAGAACCAGGAAGGTGCCAGAGGCCTGAAGAACAGCAAATGTGATTCCATTCTTCAAGAACAAGAAAAAACAAGAATTGCAGTAATTATTGACCAAAGAGTCTAACATCAATATCTGGAAAGATGTTAGAGCAAGTAATAAAGAAAAATTTGAAAGGATCTTAAAGACAATGCCTTGATTGCGAAGAGTCAGCGTGGCTTTGTCAAAAATGGGTCTTGTGAGACAAATCTCGTCCCCTCCTTTGACAAGGTAACTGCTTTAATGGACAAAGGGAATGCTGTGGATATCATCTACCTTGATTTCAGCAAAGTTGTGCCAAGGCCCCACATGAAATTCTAATTGACAAGCTGCTGTAGTTTGGGTGGCATTATGGTACAGTGGGTCCACAACTGGCAGGCTAATCACAGTCAGAAAATCTGCATTAATGGCTCGACATCAAGTTAGAGAGCAATAACCAATAGGGTTCCACAGGATAATAACAGGGTTCCACAGGATGTCTCTCCAGGTCCATATTATTCAATCCTTCTATTCATGCCATGGATAAGGGGCTTGATGGGCTGCTTATCAAATCTGATGATGATATAGGAGTGGGAGATCCGGCTAAAATCCAGAATTATAAAATGAGATTACAGTCTAATCTGAAGAATCAGATTCAGATCTGAGATTGGAAGACTGGGCAAAAAGGAACAAGAAGTTTTTCAACATTTCCAAGTGTAAGATATTACATTTAGGGAGGAAAAATATAAGGCACACCTGCAAGATAGGGGATTCACGGCTTGGGAGCACTGCGTCTGAGAAGGAGTTGAATGTGGCCATTGACAATAAGCTGAACATGAGCCAGCCATGTGAGACAGCAGCTGGAAGGGTTAATGCAGTTCTGGGTTGCATTAGAAGTAGTACTGTGTCACCTTGGCTGTTTAGCCTGATGAAGAGAAGATTGAGGGAACACATGATATCAGTGTTCAAATACATAAAAGGGTGTCACAAGGAAGATGGCCAAGAACAATTTTCCATGGCCTAGAAACAAGGAGCAGAAATAATGGGTATAGGTTTCAGCTACCTATATTTCCCTTAAGAGAAAACTTCCTCTAATTAGATCTGTACAACGGTGGAACAGTCTTATCTACAGAGGTTATGGATACTATATTTCTGGAGGTTTTTAAGAAGAGGCTGAGCAGCCACCTCTTGACGATAGTTTAATGGTGTTCCTGAATGTTGCAGAGGACTGGACTAGATGATTCTTGTGGTCCCTCCTGATTGTATGTGTCTATAAGTCTATGATCGTATGAGTTTATGAGTCTATGATTCAGCGGTGGGATTGCCCCCTCTGTTTGCTGATCTTGGGGCTCCCTTTTATACTGAGGAGCTCTGGGAGATGAAACAGTAGAAGAGATATTTAGAACATTGGTGGAAGATGGAGCAAGTATGAACTGTGGTTGAACATATACTGTGGTAGCAAGCGCAGTGAAATCTTGATATTTCCCTGCACCTATGATATCTGGGAAATGCTGTCTAGCAGCACTACTTTGAGTGCCCTAGATCCTTCTAGGAAATGATGGGCTAGAAGCTTGGTGGGCCGCTGTGGAAATTTGTTAAACGCCCAGAGGATGAAATCTCTCAGAGTCACTCAGAGCTTGGAAGCTGGTTGGGCACAATCTGTAGAGATGAGAGAGGTGTTATTTTATATGTTATTTGAGATTTGAGCTTTTCACTTTGAAGGAAGTGGACATGGTTCTCTTGACACTAGTTTTGTCACCTATGGACTGGATCCTACCTGGTTCCTTAAAGCAGCAGGAAGGTTTTAGGAAGCTGGGTTTGAGCTGTGGTGAAGACATCTTTGGGAGAGAAATGATGGCACCAACCTGGACGGAGGTGGTAACACACCAGCTGTTTTGGAGAATTATCAACCTGTCTCCAACCTTCCCTTTTTTATCTGGGTATCTTTTGCTTAGATTCAGGCCTCGGTATGGGATTGAGACAGCATTGATCAGTCTTGTAGATGAGAAGAAATGTGATCTTTATGGTCCTGCTGGGCCTCTCAGCAGCCTTTGATACAATTGATCATAATATCACGGTATCTTTCTGGACTGTTTGTGAGAGTTGGGAGTGGGGGCCACTGTTGCAATGGTTCTCTTTCCTGGGTGGATGGTTCCTGAGGCAGGGGAAAAGTCGAGCCCTTGGCTCCTCTGATGTGGCATGCTCCAGGGCTCGACTCTCTCCCACTTACTACTTAATATCTACATTGAGGGGAGGTCATCCATTTGTTTGAGCTGAGGTATCATCAGTACGCTAAAGACACCAACATTAGCTCTTGACTCCAATCCAATCAGGAGGTGCACTCAAAGTTTGGCCTGGTATCTTGAGGCAGTTAGAGTCTAGATGGGGCCTGTTCCACTGCAGGAAGTAGGCTCCCAATTTGGGGGGCATCCTGGACTCATGGCTCCTGCTGAAAATGCAGGTGGAAACCACGGCCAGGAAGACTTTCACACAGCTCCAGATAGTACACCAGTTGCATCAGCAGACCTCACTGATGGTGGCTCAAGGCCTGGACATCTCACTTCCAGATTACTGCAACTTTATCTACATAGGCCTGTCCTTGAAGACCATTGGAAACTGCGGCTGGTTCATAATGCAGTGGCCAGCATGATAATGGGCTTTTCCTGATGGGATGGGATGACACCATTATTGTGGGAGCTGCATTGTAAGCTTCTGAGTACAGTTCAAGATGCTGGTTATTAAAGGCCTACCTGCCTTAGGACCTGCTTACGTTCATGACCTTCTGCTCTGTGGGGAAACTGTCTGTACAGGGAGCTCTCTGGAATGCCATACCCCCATACAAGATTTGTGTGGCCCTGATCCTGCTAGTATTCAGTATGTCCTTGAAGACCTGGATGCTCCTTCAGGCATGGCATCTGGAGGTTGAGTGAGTCTGTCGATGTGATTCCCTGTTCTCATAGGGTTTGCACTGGGTTTGTTGTAGGGGGTTTGTTTGTTCTAGGGTGCCATTATTTGTTGTTTTTATTTTTTGTTTTGTTTTAACCCTATGTTTGCTGCCAGAGTGGCAATTGTGAGTTAGGGGCTCTATTACCAACTGGTATAATACAGGAGTAAATAAATAATCCAGAAATATTAGGGTGGTTATGCTAAAGGGCCCTTGTCATTCTTATGATTCTATAATCCTGGGGTGCAAGAAAAATATTAGAGGAAAAAAGGAGCCATTTTAGAAGAGAGTGGCATAGAAAAAGCCGTAGCAATAATACATACCAGTAAATTTAACTCCGTGCTTTTCAGCTTTTTGACAATCTTCTGAGGATTTGAGTTTTGCATGAATAGGTGACTCATTAAGAATGATGAAACCGAGGGATCAAGCGTAGGTAATCCTAAAGCGTTTCTGGAATGTCTTGTATGTGTTTTAGTAACCCCACTAACGTCTGGCGGAATTGTAATCCTCTTGTGTAGAAATCATTAGCTAGGGGAGCTGGTCTGGGTCATGCAGGCGATGTTGGAAGATGCTCAGGCTAAAAGACCCACGGTGTCTCCCCAGGCGAGCCAGGGAGCAGATGAAGGAAAAGCAGGGGTCCATTTCAGAAGGTTTTTGCAGCACAAACGGGGCATTTGAAATCTGTTTCTGTATTGCGCTAAAGTTCCACCGTGAATTCCACGGAAAATTCTTG